CTAAGGCAGCTGCACCCTGGTCCACCCATCAGAAAGCAAGAGACCGGAGAACTAGAAAGGCAAGGTTCATTGAGCCATTTATCATTTATCTCTCCTCCCTTCAATTAATCCCACATGTGTTTATCGGCCAGGTTGGCACAATAAACTCTTAACTATCTCACAGAGCAAATCAGTTTCCCATTCAACAAATCATACACATTTTGTTTCATGTCATTGTAATCTCTGCAAGGTAACATCACTTACCTCACTTCCTCCCCGTGTCCCACTTCCTTTCCTCCTTCCTAACTCTTTTGAACTGTGCCCTTGGTAAAGCCTGCCCTTTGCTAACAAAGGATTGATTACAAAGGTGTGCATGCCTCATCAGTGTTATTGTACCTTTTATAGACTTGTCTTGATTGAACCTTGGGGGTGAGTTCAACTCCAGACTTAAAAAGTGGCTACGTGCCATATTTCTGGGGATTCCACCAGCCTTATTCAACTAGTAAGCCAGGTCTTTTCTATGATTTGGGGTTCTGCTTTATTTTCCCCCGCCCCCCTCACTCTTTTCAGGACCTTCTAATTGATCCCATTCAGAACAGTTGGTAGTGGTAGCCAGCCACCACCATCTAGTTTGGGTCTCATGGTTGTGGATGCTGATGTTTCAGTGGTCCGTTAGTCCATTGCACTAATTATTTCAATGTGTTTTCAATTTGCATTCTCATTCTTTCTTTTGGACAAGAGGAGACCTATAGTTGCGCCCTAGATGACTGCTCAACAGTTTGTTTTCTTGTTCTTTTTGGGCTCTTACAGCTCTTATAACAACCATACATCATTGGTATGCCATCATTATTTTTTAAACATTTACTTTGTATTTGAGCCCTTGGTATCAACGCCCGCCCAGGCCCCCTCCCGCCCCCCTCCCACCCCCCCTGTGATGCTCACCATTTTGTAAGACTCCAGTCACTGATCACTAATGGAGGATGTAGAACATTGTCTTTGTGGGGGCTGTTATCGCCAGTTAACCTCGTTGTCTCCTGATATATTTTAAAAAACTTTTAAAAGATATTTGACTCACATCTTCAAAATGCTCTCTGAGAGCATAATATAGTATTTTTTAGCTCACCTTGTCAGCCAGTTTTGTAACAGTATAAAATATAAGTCTCTCTTTCCAGTTGCATGTCTAACATTTGTGGTTAGAAAAATAGTATGTTGTATATTTCTGATTAAAAAAAACCTTCACATATATTCAGTGCATAATGTTTCCTCTACAGTACTTTAGGATGGAGCTCATGCATGCTGAGAAACTGAGGAAAGAAAAACAAGAATTTGAAAAAGCCAAGATGGAAGTGGTAAGTATTATTGTATTAATGTATTATTGTCATTTATTAACAATATGTGGTAGCTTTGAATCTGTTTAGAAATAAGAAAAAAACAGTCTTGGGAATATGTTCCCCCCTAATTGAGGGTTACATTTTGAAAATTACAGGTGATCCAGAGTTGATTTGCTTAAATGTCTTTAATTATAAAAATAGACATTTACACTAACTCAAGTGATCCTAAAAAAATTTTTTTTTTATTTCAACAGTTTTATTGACATCTAATTTCATATATCATACCATTCGGTAGTTTAAATATATTTTTTTTTTGAAATTTTTTTTGTAAATAGCATGTTAAAATTAGATTTATTGACATCCAGAATTGAATTTCCTGGTTGGTGAAGGGACACTAAGGTTTGGAAAGTAGCTGGGGGAGCTAGAAGGCCCCAGTTTGAAAGAAAGAAAAAAAATTTGTTTATAATCTTTTTTTATATATAAATCGTATTTTTTATTTAAATCATTTTATAGTGGGCTCGTACAACTCTTATTGCAATCCATACATACATCCATTGCAGCAAACACATTTGTACATTTGTTTCTCTCATCATTCTCAAAACATTTGCTTTCTACTTGGGCCCTTGGGAACTTTTTTTTCAAAGATACTTTTATTGGGGGCTATTATAACAATCCATACATCATTTGTACCGTTATTTGTACATATTGCCATCATTATTTTCTAAACATTTACTTTCTATTTGAGCCCTTAGTATCAGTGCCTCTTTTTACCCTCCCTCCCCATCCCACCCTCGTGAGTGACCCCTTGATAAATGATAAATTATTATTATTTTCATATCTTACACAGACCACTGTCTCCCTTTCCCCGTGCTTTCTTCCCTCCTCTTCTCCCCACTTCCCCCTACTCTTCTGATATCAGTACTCCAATATCTGACCTGGATTCCATGTGTGCTAAGCTCTTAACCTGTACCTGTGTACATGCTCTGGTCTAGCCCGCAGTGAAAGGCAGGACTGGGGTCATGATAGTGGGGGATGAGGAAGCTTCAAGGAACCAGAGGATTATTGAGTGTTTCATCAGTGCTGTACTTCACCCTGGTTGACTCCTCCCTTCCTTGTATTCCTTCTTTGAGGAATGTCCTGTTGTCTATAGATGGGTTTTGGGTTTCTGCTCTGATCCCCTTCGTTCTCAACAATATGGCTAAAGTTACTTTTAATACTGTATGGTTTCATTAACTCAAGTGATATCAATAAATCCAAGTAATAGATTGAAGGAGGCTTAAGAAGTTGATGTGTTTCATAGCCTTCTTTAAAAAAAATATTATTTTTTAATTTAATTATCTTATTGGGGGCTTGTACAACTCTTATCACAATCCTTACATACATCCATGTTGCAAGCACATTTGTACATTTGTTGCCACCATCATTCTCAAAACATTTGCTTTCTACTTGAGTCCTTGGTATCAGCTCCTCAATTTTTCCACTTCCTCCCCCCTCCCCCTCCCTCATGAACCCTTAATAATTTATAAATTATTATTATTTTACACTGTCATACCGTACACTGTGCGACGTCTCCCTTCAACCACTTTTCTGTTGTCCGTCCCCCAGGGAGGAGGTTATATGTAGATCCTTGTAATTGGTTTCCCCCTTTCCACCTTACCCTCCCGGTATTGCCACTCTCACCACTGGTCCTGAAGGGATCATCCGCCCTGGATTCCCTGTGTTTCCAGTTCCTATCTGCACCAGTGTACATCCTCTGGTCTAGCCAGATTTGCAAGGTAGAATTGGGATCATGATAGTGGGGGCCAGGGGGGGGTGGGGGGGCAGCATTTAGGAACTAGAGGAAAGTTGTATGTTTCATTGTTGCTACATCGCACCCTGACTGGCTCTTCTCCTTCCGACGACCCTTTTTCTTTTTTTTTAATGAAAGAAAAGAAGTTTTGTAATATTGTGACTGAAGAAGAAATTTTGTCAACATCACCTACCATAGTGATTCTTTGGCTCAGACATTTTTTTTTCTGAATGAAATCTTACACAGAAGGGTAAACAAGGCACATACCACCTGACTTGTCCAAATCTGAATGGGAAGGGAGGCCTCCAAACGGTATGCTCTTACCGATCTCAGTGGACGATGCGTAACCGTGCACCACCCACATCCAGGGGAAGAGCGACAGAAAACTTGGGGGAAGGGAGACAGCAGTCGGTGTGAGAGATGAAAATAATAACAATGTACAATCTATGTAGGGGTGATGAGGGTGGGGGGGAGGGGGGCAAAAAAATGAGCTGGTATCAAGGGCTCAATAGAAAATAAATGTCTAGAAAAGATTGAAGGCAACATATGTACAAATTCGCCTGATGCAAGCGATATATGGATTGTGACAAGAGTTATGAGTCCCCAATAAAATGAAAAAACAAACTATGATTTTAAAAAAAAATCATTTTATTGGGGGTTCTTATAGCTCTTATAACATTCCATACATAAATTGTATCAAGGAAACTGTACGATCTTGTGGTCCTTCCAGAAGCTTGAGAGTAATTTTGAGATTTGTGATCTTGTTAGGCAGTTTGGTTAGGGAACTGGCCCCACATGGGATGTGATTTGTTAAAGGTGACATGGGACAGGTAGTTTCAGAACTGTTAACTTTCATGGTGGGGCGCTTTCTGCTTATTGGCATTGTCTATTAAGTGACTTTAAATATCACACTCTTTAGGAGAATCTTGATTATTCTGAAGAAATCTTGAGTGGTGAATTGGCACGGATCGTCTACAAAAACTCTGTGAGCATAATTAAAGGTATGTATCTTTTTAAAGCCATTTGTAGTGGTGGGAATTTTGTCAGTAGAATGTGTGTAAGACTTGGAATGCAGAAATCGTGTCCCGCTTTCGTGAAAAGTGCATTTTCTATTAATATGTAATTGAACATTTGTTTTTTAAAAAAATCATTATGGGGGCTCTTATAGCTCTTAATGATCCATCCATCCATTCATTGTGTCAAGAACATTTGTACATATGCTGCCATCATTTCAAAATATTTTCTTTATACTTGAGCTCTTGGTAACAGCTCATTTCCTCCCCCCTGCTCCCCTCTTTCCCTCATGAATCCTTGATAATTTATAATTTTTTTCATGTCTTACACTGACTGCTGTCTCCCTTCACCCACATTTCCGGTTATATGTAGATCATTGTGATCATGTCCTCCTTTCTTCCCCCACCTTCTCCTTACCCTCCTGGTGTCACCACTCGTTATTGGTCCTGAGGGGTTTATCTGTCCTGGATTCCCCGTGTTATGTGCTCTTATCTGTAGCAGTGTACATGTCCTGGTCTGGTGCATTTGTAAGGTAGAATTGGGGGGGAGGAAGCTTTAAAGAACTAGAGGAAAGTTGTGAGTTTCATTGATTGAACATTTCAGCTTTTATTAAGTATTAAGTATTCAACTCTCATGTGGAGAGTTGAATAGGTGGTTTAGTTCTTTAAGGTTAGATTAAACAAAGTTGAGGAATATTCTGAAATGTTAATAATGGCTTTCATTTGTGTGGTGGGGCTATGGGTGACTTCTTTTGTTAGTGTTGTTATTCTATCTTCCAATTGAAAAACTCCAAAGCCCTAACTTCAGAACCTCATAAGAGTGATACTCATGGAGTCAAACGCTCCTTTCACAGGCTTGTTGGCACTAAACCCCCCTCTCTTGCTGTTTCAATCGTAGGCGCAGAATTTCATGTGTCACTGCTTTCAATTGCACAGCTGTTTGACTTTGCCAAAGATTTGCAGAAAGAAATTTATGATGAGTAAGTAATATTATGAAAGGTGATTTTTTTTTTTTTCCCCTCGAGCTTTGCCCGCCCGGAGCCCTCTGCTCCCGGCGGCCAGAATGCAGGGGTAGAGCAGGCTCGGCCGCCCAAGGGGCGGGTGGTAGTGCCCGCGCCGGGGCTGCCGAGGTACAGGTATGGAAACAAAAAACCAAAAAGGCCATTTTTATCTATATCGGATCTTGTTTTTTAACATTTTTTAAGGGGCT